AGGATGCTAAGAGGAAACAGCATGTCAAGAGATCCGAGTGGATTTCCATAAAATTTACGGTCATGTAAGGTCCATTTTTTACCAGTGCGAAGCTCAACTATGGGCTTGGCCACCAGCACATGCTATAAAATACGATTGTGAACCCGTTGATTCCGCCAGAATTGATTTTAAAATGCCCAGATCCTGTGCTTCAGACCATGCACAGCGCTTTGCTACTAATCCATGAGCTCAGGTGGAACAATCTCGAAGGAGTCTAAGAAGATAAATGCTACTTAGAAGATTAAAAATTCGCTTTTAAGTCGTCTGCCGAGAGACTTCAAATGGTCCGTATGGAAAGTGTGTGACTTTCTTTATTCGCAACTCGCAATAAAATTGCAAAATAGGTGCAAAATCCTTTTTTGGAAAATCAGTTAGAGCACTTGGGCTCCATACCGCAATGTCAAACAGTGGAGAGACTTGAGCCGAACCTGGATAGCAAGGCATCTTCAGCACCACTTTTCGCAAATCTCTAACGGTATTCCTCCACGAGATTAAGGTAAGCCCTCGGCACCAGAACAATCATCATATATTTTCTTTCGAAATCCTCCTATAGCTACTAATCTGTAGAATACCACCTGCAGGCATTTCGCCTCCGGTTGTGCGGTGTTTAGACAGCCCTTAAGAGTGCAACCAGTTGGATGGACCACCGACGGGTCGAGTATGGTCCGCGTGGGAATACCTCGCAATGTCGAAGGTGAATAAGTTCAGAAAGTAAAATGACGATTAATGTAAATGGAAACTGTTACGATAAGTACCATGAGCACACGACCTTGCGATAAGTCAAGTAGGAATGCTACAAGTTTTGGTAACGGTGGCGAAGTAGCACGTGAATTATTACTAATTTGACCCAAATAAGCAGCGGACTTAGCACAACATACCTTATTTGGTTACTTTCAAGGTTGAACCTGTGAATGCATGCTCATTTGCAAAGAAGTATCGGGTCATAGCTACCGCATGCAACTATATTTGAAGGCAATCACTGAGTAACATCCTAAACTGTTATTATCAAGATAATTTCTGGCCGAAGGTACTGAATTTCATCAACAGGAAAGGCTATCATTTACCTTCCACATCGACATCCACTATAAATGCATCCGTCTTGTGCGCCAATCAGAAAACTGTCGTCAAAGTCTTGTACAAAAGCCACCGACGTGGGTGCCACAAGCTTCGCCTGTTTGTAGACAAGTTCCATGGTTTGGAATGGTTTTGCAAGCATGTCAAGACTCCAGCCACACAGCCTACCATCAGCACCAACGCTGATGAGGTTATTAGTATCCTGGTTTCCTGTTACAGCAATTGATCTGACTGGTCCCCAGTGAACCAAATTTCCACACAACCCTGTCCATTGGACTGGCGTTTCTCGATTGACTCTAATAATTATTGAAAGTTGTCTGTTAAAGACCGAAATGGGGAAGTTGATTAGTGATATATAACTTAAGTAGGTAACATTCCATACCTAATATCCCAAATGACAATCTGCCCCCCATTTGTGCCACCAATAATAAGGTTGGGGTGGAAATCGGAGAAGATAGCAGTGGTGATAGATGCCTGACAGGTGAAAACTGATTCCTGTGCTGACTCGGATTTCTTCGACTTCAGATTCCACAACACGCAGACACCATCTGCAGTTGCAGCTGCGGCATAGAGGTTTACAGGAGTTAGAGCCGGCTCGTCTCTCTGAATCGCAGAATAGACAGCCAAAACAATTTCTGGGTGGTTGGGCGACCAGTCGAGGGCTGTCACCACGCGTTTGGACGTCCAGAAATCGTCAAAGAATATGCAGTCCTCGGTTAGCATTTGTTGAGCCTTAGCTAATCTATTGAGCAACCATAATACACGTGAGTGGTCAACCAGTCATTAAGGCCATTTAATTACAGTGCTTAGCTAAACTTCTTGGGACTTCGTTGGTCCAAAAAAATATTTCATTCAATTGATACCATGCAGCCAATAATCCTTAGATAAATCGTTGTATCAAACCCGTACTACCCCAATAAAGCGCTTTTTCGACAAAACTGTTCACATTCTGTTACTAACCTTGAAGTTCATTGATGAAAATAGATATTGATTGGCACTATATAAATGAACTAAGGCTCATTTCCGGATGCTAATTTTGCATTTTAGGATGACAGTGACTAATCAGAGGCCTAACTGATCTCGAGCTATTCACTGATATTCGGAAAGCGTCACAAAATAGCAGAATTTGTATGTAGGAGCTATGCAAATGAACGCACTTCTTTTCCAACATACGTGCACGCATCGCATAGGCACAAGCGCAGAAGGACTAGCTAGCACAATGAGCAAGCCAATAAACGCCTTATGTCACTTCTCACCGCACCCAAAACAAGCATTAACGATTGCAATTTATCGGAACCTAGAATAACACATAGTTCATTAAGGTACAGATTATATGAACATTAAAATAAAAAATAGAGAGGCATCTCAGACTAGTCAAATGGTATAGTTGCTAAGAGATTGAGCAATCGTAACTAAGAGGGATGAAAGTAATCGAGAACATAGCATACTCTTCTTCCTTGTCAGCACCGCTGTAGTCAAAAAAGATGTCACGTTCGTCCTCTTCCAGAGCGCCTTCAACTATCGTGGAGGCACGCAAGAAGAAGTCTTGAAATGCTTCTGATGATAATATGTTTTCTTTGTCCTCATCTGTCATTTCCTCTCCTAAGACATAATATAATACAGCTGGCAGATTAGGGACCCTACTTCAAATTAAAACCTTAAAATTTGAGCCAACTATGTCCAACCTGACAAAATGTTAGGACTAAAATTTCATAAATTTATGAAAGGTCAAAAATTACAAAAACCATCGTTACCCATATTTCGTGACGAAGTGTTAGGATCTTGTAGTCGAACAGACTTTTCGACTTCAACCTGGTTCGAAATAGGTGGAACTTCTATGTCCGTTAATGGATCATCGCCATCAGCTATCACCGAAAAAAAGGCAAAAAACAAATAAAGTAGATTGATACTAGGTTATAATATTTCACAAATGCCTAAAAACGTCAAAATGTACAAGCAAAAAGGCAAGAGATGTTACAAATGTACAATCTTTCTTCTTAAAATAAGTTTAGCGCTATCTTATTGTGTATTCCATACCAGCTAAGAGTTCATCATCCCATTCCAAGCTCATTTGGGCCCTGGAAGCAGGTCCATTCGCCATCGATGGGGTTTCCGGCCAGGTATCAGTAGTAATTGCTAAAAATGGAAATCAAGTAAAATGCGCTAATTGAAACAAACACGGAGTTTCACAAGGAACATCATTTGTCGTTTGGGTTTCCTTAGAATACATCTCCTCATTAACTGGTTCAAAGGAGCACTCATTTAGTCCGGAGGTAACAAGTTTCAGAGGTTTCCGTGATGCAGCTCTAGGAAAATATTGAAAAAATGCGTGCTTTACTTAGACTCCAATGAGGGAGAACTTTGTGACTTAAAAACACTAGAAGACTTCACTCCAAGCACTCGTTTTCCAACGGCTCCAACACCAAGGTCGTTTAGTATTTTTTCAGTGTCCACGCCTTTGACATGTGGAATGGGGGAGATGTTTGCAGAATGTTCACCCTTCTTCCTAAGCGCTTCTCGATGTAGTCTTTCCTCCCTTAGTGCAGCAAGCCTAGCTTTTTTTATTTCAAGCTCTTCTTTTCTGCTCAAATTAGACATGTCGATGAAGGGGGATTCGATGCACTTCAAGCGGAAGCGAAGTTCCCTGAGAGCACCAACACACTTTCCAAAATTTGTTACAACCCTATTGTCCTTGAATTCATAAGTTAAAACAAACCAACGCAAAAGTGTGAGAGTAATGTTAGCCTTTGGTAGCATATATTTAACAAATTAAAATTACTTTAATAATTATGTCATTGATAAACGTAAGTCATTTAGTTTTTATTTATGTGTGCATTGGGGATGTTATCCATTTGTCCATTTAAACGCAAATGCAAGGCTTTTAGGGCAGTGTCTTGTTTATGTGCCCACATGATGTCCGGGTTTCATTTTAATATTTGTCTGGCTTTTGTGCGCATGGACTGGTCATTGGGTCATTGACTTCTTGGAATGCCTGCATTCAACTCCACTTCTCTAATCAGAGCGATTTCCCGGGACACTACACCGATGGCAGCATAAAGCAAACTAGACGTTTTTAAAGATTTCTATTCTGATAGATGCCTTCTGTGGCATGTACTTATGGCGTAAAGGAGGTGCATTCACATTGAGTTTGGTTGATACTCAGCAAAAGTGGTGAGAATAACGTGTTCATTTAGCATTAACTTGTCCCCGTGTCTTGCGAACAAGCTACTAGCAGCTGAAACACCATTTCCATGAATTTTACGTAAAGTGTCGGAAATGACACGTCGGCTCTGCTTCCATACGGAATTGCGTCTGATTCCGTTTTCTCTGTAACGCACATATTTTAGACCAAAGCTTCACCGTCTGGTCGTGAGAGCATTTGCTGGTCAGTAGGCCTATCGGTCCCGAATCGGATATTTCAGCCCAAACATAATTTTAGGTCCAGTTTTTTCTGATGGGGAATACAAGCACGGTTCCTAAGTCTCATGGTATCTGCCGACTTGAGCGGCTTTCTTGTGAGTGCTTTCTTGCAGTACCGAATATATTGTGATGGCTGGTGCAGAAGGTATACCAAGGGAAGAATCGGGATCTTCTACTGTTACGATTCATCTGGTCCTTATACGCTCCTGCTGGCCTTCGGGCCCCACAAAAACCTTAACCCATTTTCTCAACGTTACACCTTTTTCTACTTGGAGGATGTCTCATGGCACTACATCAGTTACACCATTTTGTTTGCAGTTTGGGACGACTCACAAGGCAGAAAGCATTTTGTTGGACTATTTGGGAATATTTCAAAAGGAGCTGAAGTGAATTTGCTTTGACTAAGCTCGAAGACAAATTCACGGGTTCAAGGGCAAGACATAAACCTAAGTAACCTCCAGACATGAGGTAGTCACAAGAACCAAGCATTACACACAATATGCGACCTAAAATAAGTGTGGCACATAGCCTTCCTCCGCATAATTGGGAGTCTTGTGCCGTCATTGTAATACATTTTTTTGTTTAATTTGTGTCTTGTAGAGAAGGTGGATAAGTCAGCACAAACGCCGTGCTTGAGGCTCGTGCGGGTCATTTCCGTGGAATCATAAACAATCTCCCAACCGCACCTCCGTTGCTTTGTTTATGCGAATGCCTGACGGCCACACTGGTATTCGTCCTACTATTCTACGGTCGGGCTTGTATGACCTGCCTACCTATTCTTAGTCTCCTGAACCTCGAACTTCATGAGAGAGTTGTTTGGAAAAAAATTTTTTCGGTATCATATATAGACTAAAGAAATGGAGAGAGGTATCTCTTCGCGCTCCTCACGAACGGGATTCGTGTTCGAACTAATCAGCCTCCTATCTCCTTTAAAGGCAAAGTAAACACATAAGTATGCATTGCGATCCCTTTTGCCTTCATAAAACGAATATTATCAGTACAATTTAATGCCATCTTCCAACCGTCAGGGAGCCTTAAGGCGATACTTTAGCTTATCGAGACTTCCCGCCGTGTAGTAAAAGGCAGTAATTGGGAGAGCAAGAGAGTCAACTCTGAGCTTGGTCTGTAGCTCAGCCCACGCGTACTAAGTCTATCCAAGTCTTAAGGTAACCGTCAGACATCAGGTGGTTACATAAACGTAGTACTGCATAAGCAGTATCCCATTTCCTGCATTAGCCTCAATCTTATTAGGATGGTTAAGAAATCTTTTCAGAAAAATCCGTTAGTTATAAAGACGGAGGCAAAGGGTCAGAAGAGCAACGTGAGAGATACTGAAATTCAACGATAGTTCGCTGCTGTGCAACAAATGTACTAAATTAGGGCTATTTATTCTTTCTCATACCTATATAATATTAATTTTTGGCAACTATTCTGCCCAACTACTTAATAAATATTACTTTATGCAGGCATAGCAAACATCTCCCACTACTATTATGTAGGGATAAGAAGGATCAGCCTTTAAATGTGATCGCGGGGACCTTATTTTGGTGCGTTGCTTTTACTCTTAAAGGTGTAAATTCGAGATAGGCACTGTGACGCATCAATACTTCCTATTTGGTAGGAGGAGAAATAAAGCATGGCTGAGCACTTGTATTTAGAAAGGATGAGTACATGTTGAGGTTTGGCTTAAGCCAAAGTCTAGTTCACGCACCATAAAGCAAGAGTTAAAATGAAATTGTCGTTGGTCACACATGCAGCTTAATAAACAGAGCATTGGAGTCCGTGCAACTGCCGACCCTAACTCTACACTTTGTGCAGAACATAACGGTAAATAAGTGTTAGTTGCTGAATGGAGTCCAGTAATTTTGTTATCTTCTTGGATAAATCAAACCTTGGAAAAGGAAGCAGATAATGCGCGTGGTTTTGATTCAGCAGTAGCACTGCAGACTACTGTTACACTTTTGGCTACTGCAGCAGCCACTTATGAGACCTTCTCAATTTCATTAAATAAGTTGGACTTTGGCCATGCCAATTGCATTATTTTGC